TTGGTCTTTCATTATTTTATGACATTAACATTTTTGATAAGTCCAGGTTAACTGTCTTTCAGAATGTTGTAGTTGTTATTTTAGAATGGGACTTACCAGAAGGTTGTGTAATTTTCTTCAACAAAGTTCAGGTGATCAGATGCATGCAGGGAGTAAGCTCTCAGGGTAGTTATATTTAAGCAGGACTGTGTGTGATTGGGAACAAAAGGGTAAGGGAAGTGAAGGGTAATTGTAAGGGAGTTCGAATGATAAACCATCAACTCTAAGTGGGTAAGAAGGAACGAGAGCATGAATGGAGTGAGGGTAATGACAAAGGGGTGATTAGATGACTGGAGATTTCTACAAAGTCTCTGTAACATGAAAGAACTGGGTCAGGAACATAGGAAAGGCAGCTGATCAGTGAATACATCTGTGCTTTTTCACTATACGGGTCTGCTGAAAGCCCTGTGTTTACACCTAAGATGCAGGAGATAGATGCTATACACAGAACTGTTTTATGAGCACCATTGCTAGAAGTACAGCATATGTTACATACATAAGAACTTGTAAAGTCCTTTACCATAACTTAGAATTTATGTTACGCCTCCTAAGAAGAGCACTCGTGATTCTCATACTTTATTATCTTCTCAGCATCCCTAGCAGAAAGGAATCGTGCTGTTGATAGGCAACTGTCAGGTAGAACTTGTAAGTGACTAATGAAATCATTAAGTCCATCGATAATAGCTCCAAGAAGAGAACCAGAGTGTGCACTCACATGTCGTATTAGCCGAACTGAATGCTCCTCAGATTACACAATGTCTATCACTACCCAGATCGCCTGCACACCTGCCAGGCTGGGGTTTAATGGACGTCTCTATTTCAATTACTCTACATTACGCCTCTTATTTTGTCAAAGGCCAATATTGATATAAGTAGCTGCCTAGAAAGGATAAATTCTCAAAGATGTGCCCTCAACAAATAATTTTAGATTAAGGAGGTATGCAGTAACTGAAAGCCATTTATTAGCACTCAATTCTGGTGATCTCAGGCACAAAGCCAAAGCATTTATGGATGTGGTGAGTACTGGCACCAGGTCCTGTACTTAAAATTATTTTATGAAAAACACTGCACCCTGAGTGCAGAATCTGCCTTCATTAACTTGACATTCTTTACCATTGTTATCATAAGCCAATATTCAATGAGCGTCTACAGGGATTTAGCACTATATAATGTTCTATTTATACTTTCTTTTTTTAAACACTGGCATAAGTATGAAAAAAGGGAAATATGAGTATTATTCCCTTCTAAAAAGGCTATAAAAGAGGAGCACGATGACAGGGAAATGACACTGGAAATTTTCTTTCACTTTTTATTAAAAATTTACTATGCTTCTTTTTTTGATCAAATGGCTGAAATAGAACTATTTCAGTCATGGCATATGCTATTTTAATCAAATTTCTGCCTGAAATACTGAATTGGCTTCAGAAAACGATAGTGGTAAAATAATACTTCTCACAGTAGCTTCATCTTAATTTATACCAGAAGCACATTCTGAGGTCCTCACATTAAGTTTTAATTCAATACACTTCCATCTTGAAAAATCTGATTGGCTTGCATTGGAATTAAGCCTGTCCAAATAACACACTTAGAGAGCCCCAGGTAGAAAAATACGGGCTTCAAGTGCCCCCTAGTGGATGACAGACAGAACAACCAAATACAATTTGGGAGTCTGGAATAAAGAGGCACATGCCAAATTTCATTCTCTGTTGCATTTATTTATTCATTTCTTTAAAAGAACTTATCAAGAATTTATTCTGTTAGGCACTTAGGATCAAAAGATAAATGGTATACAGTCTGTGTAATAGAGGAGTTAATAGTAGAATAAGGGTAAAACTGACTACAGATAATTTCAACCCTCCCTCCCTGCTGAGTGCTGTTACAGAGAGATTTATTCTATTCCAACCGAGATATGTTGGTTATTTTCATTCTTGTAGGTATTATCATGGTAATTAATATTATATAGAAATTCCTGAAAAATAAAAGCAGCTGTTTTCCACATAGGGTGTAATTCATCTATTTTATAAATCTAGAAAACACATAGTAAATAATTACATATTTCTAGAGTTTTTCCTAGGAGTAACTGTAATCCATATTGCTTTTATGATTACCTTATTAATAGTATTAGCAGTTTTGTAATTATTTTCATTCTTGCCAGATAACATTATCAGACCTATTATGCAGCAGAGTTGGTCTTACCTGATAATTCAGTGTCATAGATGGAACTGGAATTCAAATTGCCTGACTGCACCTGTTAGTTTTCTTGGTGGATTCATCCAGTGACTTTTGTGTGGTTTCTAATGGTAATATGAAGGGTCTTATGAAGTCACTGAGTAATATGAGACAGCCATTTACAAGAACGGTTAAAACACACACACACACACACACACACACACACACACACACACACACACACTGGATCATTTCCAACGTCAGCTACTGAGCAACTGTCACAATTCTCTTGAGTTTTATCAAGTTATTTAAAAGTCCCATATCCAATTACCAATCCCCAGCATCACCCAGGCCCTGGCTTGGCACTGCTCAACCAAATGATACTCTTAATGCCAAAGCAAAGTGATTACATAAATAATTTAGTTAGGTCTTCTTTAATCCTATACAAGAGAAGCTTATAGTAATCTTAATTAGTATTTTACTCACCCAATGCAGTTGTGTAACAGTATTCTCCTATTGAATTCCTGACTTTGAGCATGGAATGGTGCAAGATCTTTAAAGAAGGTATTCCTAGTTTACATAAATCAATGATGGGAGTCAGAAGTTGGTTTATTTGAAAAATAGCAATGGTTCTAGATGCAAACAAGACATTCCTAAGAAGTCAAAAAAACCTAGAGGTAGTGGACGTAGAGGTGGGAACTTTTTGGCACTACCACTTTAAAATTATGTTCTTTTGTACTTTCAGTTGCTATTTTCAATTCGGCTTTCTTTTGTTCCATTTCAAAATATTTTGTTTTCATTTTCTCGTTTTCCTTTTAAGCTACTAAAATATCTTCATGAGCAATTTTTGGTTTGTTTTCACATACAAATAAGATCTATTGTTCTTAACATTTCTGATGTACCATTTAAGATTGTTTCCTTTTTGATTATGAGCAACAGAACAATGAATATAACTATCATTGTTTTATAAGAGATGAAACAAACGTGTAGGTTTTGTGATTTTGTGTGTGTGTGAAAGAGAGAGGTCACTTTACGTAAGTTCAGTTAATTCAAAGACTACATTTAAAATATAAATTCATCAAAAATATAAAATACTATCTCTGGAACAGTAAACCAAAAATTAACACGAAGTCTTTTCTCAGTGATACCCAATTGTATTGTTACCTTATTTTGTGCTCCCATAATGTTCATTCCCTTGTCCATCCATCTACAAATACGTATCATGCAAAGTCAAAAAGTCGTTTCCTTTCCTCCAGATGTATGCGACGTTCAAGAACCAATGTGTTGAAATTATGCACAGGTGCTTCTTATAGAAAAAAAGTGGTTGCGAATCTAAACCAGACAAAGGAATGTTAGAATGTTTTTGCAACAACTCAAGCTGAATTGTGAAGGTAAAGTAGGAATGAGAGAAGTAAAAGGGCTTTCTAGGTTGATGGAGTTTTGTATTTAGGGATGAATTAACTTGATACTTTTGAGGACTCTTTAGAGTAACTAGAAGTAAATGTCGGACCTGGTTGCTACGGTCGAGCTTGAATTTTACGTTGTAAACTAAGAGCCACTGAGAAATTTCAGGTAGACTAAAATGACAAGGCTTGACTTTTAGTTAAGGTCACTTAGGTAATAGTGTGGAAGAGTCATTTGAGGAAGCAGGAAACTACAGCAGGAAACATTAGGAGCCTGCTGCAGAAGTGGACGATTGACAACCTTGCTACGAAGTGGTCCTCCATTAGCTGCACAAGCATTGACTGGGAGCTTGTCAGAAATAGAGAATGTTGTGCCTTCTCTCTTACGTTCTCAGTATTTTAACAAGCTCTGGTAATCTGTAGGTCTGGGAGGTACCACTCACAGAGATAAGGAACACAATAAGGGAAGTTACTGGAGGAAAAGACGTCACTATCCTAGGTGTGGTCAGTTTAAGGTGTTTATGGAACATCCAAGCAAGGTGATCCGTAGCAGTTGGGTATACAGGTCAGGAGGCTGGGTTGAAGTCTGGTTTAGAGAAACAATTTACCATTTATCAACAAGTTTGTATTTGAATCCATGGTCCAACCCAAGTTTCCTGGGATTTGCCCAGGGAAAGTATATCATTAGTCAAGCAGAGGGCCCAGGAGGGAACACTAAGAAACACCATTATTTGAAGTCCCATACAGCAAAAGGTATCCACAAGACACAGAAGGAACTTCCAGTGGTAGGAATACACAATGTGAGTAGTGGGAAGAAAGTTCCAAGTGGCAGGATGGTCAACATTCTCATTCCAGCAGAGGTCACATAAGAACAGACAAAAGTCCATTGGATTTGGCAATCTTGATGTCAGAGTAAAGCTACAGGTGGAGATTATTTCCCATTAAGTTCTTTCTTGACCTTAGTATGTGGGGATGCAATTTAGAGTTTCTGCTCTCAAAGTTCAGATGAGTAGAGTATGAAAGAGGAGCTTGGTATGGAGCCAGTTTGCAAACGTTCTCTCTTCCAATAGGATGGTAAATTCTTTGAGGAATAAGGAAGGCACATAAAGATGAGTAAGACCCAGTCCCAACCCTCAGCATTTATAACAAATCAGAAATAAGACATCTGTAGTACAAGATGGGACATGTATTATAAAATAGCAGAGATTCAAAAGAGGGATACACCACATCCAGACATTAAGAAGAGCCTGCTTACTCCTCCTCAGTTGTTAGCACAGAGATATGCACATACTTAACACTTAAACTGTATCAATTGCTGAATTTTCCTCTGAACAAATCTGGTATATTAATAAAGTCCCTTTTATTCCAAAATCCAAGGAAACTTCAAACTCATTCATGAGATATTTATTAAAATAACACATTTAGGGAAAAAATCAATACAATGTATACATCATTACTGAAAACTGTATACCATCATACAAAAAAGGATTTTATTTTGGGAAATTGATTCCTAATTTATGGCAAGTTTTACTTTCAGAAATAAAACCACAAAACAACACAATCTCATCCAATCTTAAAGGCTGGCATGCTGAGCAAGGAATGTTCTTATTCTTTGTAGGAGCTCCTTCTTTACACTGTCAGGTACCAGGGCTGAAATACAAAAATAAAAATATAAGAGTAAGAAGATTCCAATTAATATATGTCAATTTGGTATTTGATATTTTATTCAGAATTAACAACAAAATAATTTCATGAATAACCCATATGCCTCAAAAAAGAAAGAGGTAAAGATACCTGAAAAAATAAAGTATATTTGCAATTCATTATTTGAGTGAACTATCCAATACCTAAATACACTGCACACTGACAAGAATAAAACATGGGAAAATTCTTTAAACTAGGAATGGAAAAGACCTTTTTGAAACAGAGGGTTATAACAAATTGATAAATTTGATATAAATCAACAATGGCAATTTAGTAAGTTGGTCAAAATCAGCATAAAGAAAGGCAAAAGACAAAAAGTGGGAAAACACTCTTACAGAAATGGGCTGATCTCTCACTGCATTTCTCCAAATTGATAAAAGATCAGACAGAAAAACAAGCAAAAGAGATGAAAAGGCAAAACACAGTTCTTGAACATAAAAGGGGTGTAACTTAGTAACTGAAATGTAAATTAAAACCACAAACAGCGTGTTTTGCCAATTATATTGGTTAAAAACCAAAGGTCAGTAATATCTTGTGTTGGCGAGACTGAGGGAAAATTGGCTCTCTTATATTAGTGCGTGGAGAATATAAATTGGTACCATAGTTTTGGGAAGGTAATTTGGCAATAACTGTATTGAAATAAGTGCACATACTCTCTAACTCAGCAAAGATGCAAAAATTGCAACAGGAGTTACATTTGTGGTATTTTTACTTCTTCAATTTTGAACCATGTGACTATTATCTACTCAGGGTATCACACTAAAAAAAAAGGCCCTGCTCTTTGAAATTTTAATTAGAGCCCTGCTCTTAGTAATTTTAAATTACTATTAAATGTCAACAAATGAATCTACAATATTTTTTTTTTCTTTTCTTGGCTACCAATAAATACGGACAATAGTGAATTAACTAAAATTTCTAATGCTACTTGCTTGTATCCAAAGGAAATGAAATATTTCAGATACAGTTCAGTAGTCCAAAAATAAGTATACAAACTAAATAGGACACACACTCCTCGTTACAGATTGTTTAGTTTAAGCCTGCTAGAAATATAAGCTACATAATTAATTCAAGACCACTGGAAACATGATCAGTACATATATTAAACACACTTATAATAAAAATTATGGTGATGGGAGTATAGATCAGTTGCCTTGGAGTTACGGATAAGGTATGACTATAAAAGGATAGCTTGAGAGAGTTTTTTTGCAGGGAGGAGGGTAGGTAGTTACATGAATCTGTACATGTGTATAAAATTCATGGAACCACACACTAAAAACTGGTCAATTCTACTGTATTTTAGTTAAAAAAAGAAAATACTTCTCTTGGCTATAAAGAAGACTAAGAACATAAAACAAAAGATTTATTTTTATTTCTCTGTTCTGTATTTGCTCATTTTCTAGCAGTGGAGCTATAAGGGATTGAAATGTCTGAGATACAAGTGTTGAAGGAGAAGCAAAGAAAATTTCTACCCTGTAAAACCAGCTCCAAAATGTTAATAGCTTAAGCATAAATTACAGAAGGAAAATAGAAAAAGAAATTGGAGAATATTATTTTAAAATGTAAATCCATGCGGGGAACAATAAAGAAATAAAAAAACAATAAATATGTTTTGTTTTTCTTTCCCTGAGACATACTTGATGAAAAAGTTTTTTTTTTTTTTTTTTTGGCTGTAAACAGGCCTACAGATGGCTGGAAAGGGCTATAGGATTCTGTAGCTCTGTCCCAGCAGGTAGTCAAGAGAATTAGTATTCTCTAGTAATAATTTTCAAACTTTTTTACTTTTTACACTTAAATTCTTTTTACTACTTCTGTGTGACAAAATAGATAATGGATTATCTAATTTATCTGCTTTCACTTAAAATTACCAAAAGAAACACTTTCACAAAATAAATGAAAATAATGTAGCCACTTCTGAGCTAACAATGTAATGTAGTTCTTAATATTTATTACGTATCATAAATGTTAATATACTATTTCCTCTCTTTCCTTTGCCTTCTGTAAGGAAATGAAGATGATGGTAGTATGAATTTTAAATACAGATTACCCAGAACACAAAGTTTTAGAGCTACCAAATTCTTAATTTAGACACTTAAGAAGACAGAGCTTTACTTATTTTTAAAAAAAGAAAAACAAGAGAAGAGCATTGACTCTGGGGCTGGAGTAAAACCTTGAATTATTAAATATTTAAGTGAAATCGGGCCATATCTAATAAAATTTATAAATATATAAAATTTATAAATAAAAAAATTTATAATTTATAAAATTAGCTTCAGCTAATACTTGCCTCTACAAAAACCCCACATTTTAAAAATTATCTGTCTTAACAACCATTATCAACTTATATCTGTATACTGTTTTAGAGTGCAAAAACATTTTATACCTCCCGTCTCATCTATTACTCAAGACTATGCTAGAGAGGCAGGAAGGCAATTATAATCTTTCCCAATGAGGAAATGCAAGTGCCCAAATAATTCTGCAAAGGTTGTTTTTCCCTATAAAAAGAAAGAAAAGCTGAACCAGCGAGAGAGAGAGAGAGAGAGAGAGAAGAGAGAGAGAGAGAGAGAGAGAGAGAGAAAGAGAGAGAGAAATCATGTCTTCAGCACACCTTTCCTTTCACACAATTTGTATTCCTTACCTCTGCCTTTTGGTGTGATTTCAGCCACCAAGTCATCAACAGTAACGTGTTCTAGTCCTTTTTCTTTAATTACCTCTTATGCAAAAGCAAAAAACAAATCATATCATTTAAAATCATTATCTGTAAGAAAGATTTTCATAGAGGAAGGGTTAAGATCATGTTTTTAGAGTGCAGACTGGTCTTTAAAAAAAAAAAAGAGGACACTTTTTTTTCTTTTCTAATGAAGATTTAGTTCAACCTTAAACACATTAAGTATTCACCAGATCAAAATCTTAAAAGCCTGTTCATCTCTCAGCTAAATAACCTGTAACTTAACAATTATTATAATACTTAGAATGAATTTGAACTATAAAGTCAAATCTAATTATGTGTAAAAAGCTGGAAACATATAACTGTACAGATCTTATTTCGCCAAAATCATACCAGCTCTTGAACGTATGGAAGGGGTCAAAAGCTATTATTTGAGTCTAACTTGTAATTTCATTGCCCAAAATTAAAGAATAGAACAACTCCTTTGTTCCTTTCTCTTCTCTAGGCTGGGCCAAAGGAAAGAGAAGAGGGCAAGGAGTTAATATTTACTGGAACACTCTTATATGCTGGGTGATTTATGGCATTTGATATTCATAACAATCTAATGGGCTGGACATTTTTCCACTTACAAGTGACCCAACTGAGGCTTAAAGATTAAATAACTCATCCAAACATGAGGTGAAATCCAGCTCCAGTCTCTTCCAGTGAAGGTCCGTATGACCCCCAAAACTATGCTTTTTCTAATGTGCCACATTGCCTTCCTAGGGTTAGTAATACAAACAGTCTCTATTATTAATTGTAGAAACCATTACAATATATTAGGAGTTCACTGAAAATATCCAGGATTCCAGTATACCAAAGCTGAGCCAGAAGAGGCTCATCTTCATGACATGTATCATCTATCTAGTGGCATCATTATCATCAATACCTAGCAATTTTATAAGCTTCCACTCTACATTTTAAAAAAATAAGTGTAATTACCTAAGATCTTTTATAGGTAAATTTTCAAAAATAACACTGTTAAAGCCAGGCGATATAATTCCTATGGAGTCTGACAATCATAAAGTGTTCAATTTGTTACAAAGTTAAAACATAGGAATAATTAATGTTTCACATTGAGTAGGCACACTGAAAAAGGATGGAATGCATACTTTGATGCCAGAAAAAATCTTGCCTCACTTGTTTTAAGAAAGAAAAAAGAAAATTTCTTAAGATTCAGGAATTATTTCTACCAATAGGAGACAGGGGGAAATCACTACTAGAAGATTCAATTTTCTATTTGTTTAAAATTATGTTCAGCACTCGACAGATCTTAAAATACTGCCTACTATTTTTCTAGTGAACCCCAAGCCAACAAGAAGAATGAAATTAGCTTATCTTGTAAATGAAACTGATTACCTTTACAGTGTGCCTTCAACTGGTCCTTCCAGCCACATTCAATTAATTTAGCTCTCAGCAACTCTTTGAGGCTGTTGAGAAAGAAAATTTTTCCTATTAAATTATAACAAGGTACAATATTTGAGGTAGGAATGTTTGAAGCAAAAGTTCAAATGTTCAATGAAAAATTCCCTGCCTTCTAACCCCAAAACTCTACCTTAACTGTGATCTAATCTTGGTTTTATTACTAAATAATTCTTTGACCTTATGCAAGTCATTTGAACTCTGGACTTCATTTTCATCATCAGTAAAATTAATTCTCAAGAAACTCTACTCTCTGCCCTTCTCATACACTTTCTACTTATCTCCACCAACAGGAATATTGTGGATCTTGTACAACTTCTAAATCGTATTACTTGAGCTTGAAGCTGCTGCACCTCAAAATCCTAAAACTCCAAAATCTATTCTCTGACCACAGGCTCTTATCCTTGAGCTCTCTTACTTCCCCATCATATCCCTCTCTAACCTCAAAAACTTTCCTCTCAATTTTTTCCAATAACCTTCTAAATTATATACTAAGTGTGGTATTTCATTGATTCTAAGACTGTTTTTTCCCCACATTTCAACAATTCAGTAATTGGTATGCGTATCATAATTTAATTGGCAGTATCTTCTTTTACCCTACTGGTAAAAAAATAATAATAATAATGGTATATATAGCAACTAATGGCATCATGGGTGTAATAAAATATTTTCTTACCAATATTTATTTATCCTTCTGCCATACCCACTCTTACAAATCTTCAATCTTCAACCTAAATAATTTCTCAGAGCTTGAACATGTCATGTCCCAAACCAAACCACTTCTCTTTCAAAATTTCTAACCATTCACTACGTGACATTTCCATCTTGGTATTTAATTAGGTCTTTCCATCTTAATAGGGCCAAAACCCAACTCCTGCTTCTCTCCCACTCCCGATTCTGTCAGAATGCCATTGTCCATCCTGGTTCCCCAGGCTAGAAAACTTGGCATCCTTCACTCAGCAACTCTGTTAACACTATACATATAATCCAGAGGAGCAATTCCTATTGGTTCTGGTTTTAAATAAATACTTCAATTCAAATGTTTTTCACCATCTTTGCCATTACTCCCCTAGTCCAAGCCATCTTCTTTTCTTGACTGGACTGTTACCAAAGCCCCTAACTTGTTCCCCTGCTTCCTCCCTTATATACTTTGCTCTCCTTCCTCTGCTCAAAGGGGTCCAGTGGCTTCCCAATTTACTTAAAATTCCAAATCTATGCTACAACCTAAATAATCGTCCATGATCTTGCCCCCCTCCCCAGCTATGCCTCTCACTTAATCTCTTCTTCTCCTCATCCAATTTATTCAGGCTCATGAGCTTCCATGTGGTGATCAAAATACCAGGCAAGCTCCTGTATTGGGTCCTTGGCTCTTGGGAGTCCCCTCATTCCTTCATATCCTTCTGACCTCTTATCAGTGAAGCCTTCTTTATCTTTTTGTCTCAAATACACACCTCATTATTGTCAGTTTTATTTTTCCTCTAGAACTTATCACCATCTACATAATATAGACTTATTTTCTGTCTTCTCCCATGTAAGCTCCATGGAAGAACAGACTTTATTTTGTTCACTACTGTATCTCCGGCACCTTAAGAGGACATAGCATATGGTAGAAACTCAATAATTTTAAGCTGCATGAATGAAAAAAAACAAACATAAATAACCTCCTTTCCTCATCCTGCTAATACTATCCTAAAACAAACAAACATAAATAACCCCCTTGCCTCATTACTGCTAATACTATCCTCTCAGTTCCCCAAGGCATTGTTCTGGATGTCTTCTTCCTCATTTTTCATATTGAGGGCTGCTTTTACTTTAAAAAATTATAAGTTCTTCTTTCTATTTTTGCTGTTTTTTCATTTTTAATCTGATATAATCTGCTAACATGTTATTCTGTAATCTATGTCTAGCCCTTCAAGTCTATCTTCTACATTGCCAGGCTAATATTCCTAAAGAGCAAATGTGGTGTAGTCATGCCCCTTCTTAGGATCTTTTAATGACTTCCACCACCCAAGGATAAAGTCAACAACAGTTGTTTCTGCACACCCATCACCCATTTTCCTGACCTTTCTTTGACACCACTCTTAGTGTAAGAAATCTAAATAGGGTTCCAACATTGGAAATGAGACCTAAGCAAGGTTGACCATAACTGGCCTATGTACCTAAGTAAGACGGTAATCACGCCAGGTACTTTGCTGGAACTACTAGGAGAAAGGTAGTCTGAGCCAGAGGGTATGAACTCTGAACTGCTAATCTCTGCCACCTTGTGGGTAGAGTCTGCTTGAGAATAAAGCGAACACAGAGGAAAACAGAGCTGAGAAAGAAAAAGAAAGACATATTCTTGGTAACAATTTTTGAATGCTTGGACCCAGTGGAGACTGAAGCAACTTCGAGCTCTAAACTTTGTACTTAGATGAGCTTATATATTTCACTGTTAAGCCGGTTTCTGAGTTCTAACATTTACAAATAAGGAATTCTGACTTATACAAAATCAACTCCTCTTGTCCACTGTTACAGCAACATCACTTTCACACTTTACCTGCTACCTTTAATTTTGTAGCTCCTCAGAACATGATCATGTTGTAACAAATCCCTGTGACTTTGCACATTCTGTTCTATCTGCCTAGAATGTCTTCTGCTCTTTATTGGCTGGAAGAATGGCTAATCTTTTTCCCGAGTTGAAGGAACTCTTTTACTATTTTGTAACTGATTACCTTAACCCCCAGGTAGAGTTGAAAGATCCCTCCTGTTCCTTATATATTTCTCTTATGCAACTTTTCACCCTGTTTCTGGAAGCCTTTCTTGATTCCTGAGTCTCTGTTTAGTACTTCCAAACCTGTTCATTCTTCAAATATTTACCTTGGCCAATTATGTGCTAGGGATGATGCTAGGGATACAATGGTATTTCTACTGTCAAGGAACTTAGATTATATTGGAGGACACAAACAAGCAAAGCAGGTGGTTATAATATGTGATTAAATGCTAGGCTAGAACAAGGGATCTGGGACTTAACAATAAGAGGTGATGTTTAAATTAAGACCTGAAAGATGAGCTAGAATTAAAGATCAGGGGAAGAAGAATATTTCAGAGTAGGAACAGCACATGCTGCTCTGAAGTTGAGAGTGTAGAAACTGAAAACTGGTTCTACCACATTATCTCCCTGTTAAAAATTGGGTAACATTATGTTTTTAATTGTAGTTATTTGGGCTTTTTTTTCCCATTAGATTATACATACTTTGAGTCATTTCTTATTCATCTTTCTAGATGACTCACTTTCCCTTAAGCATGCAATACTGAACACACCTATTTTTTACAGATGTTAGGAATCGAAACTTTTGATAATCTCAATTTTCTGTTATTCATTCCACTGACATCAGTTTTGTTCCTTGATATTTAGATTTTTACATATAACGTAATTATAATTTAAAGACGTTAAATGTAATTTACTAACACAATCTATTGCTTACCGTTCTCTTTCTCCAGTTTCTATCAACTTTTGGTTAATCGCTGCTCTCATCTGCGCATCTTTGTTCATCTTGCTAACCTGAACATCAACATGTATTTTCAGATACAGAACACATACAAAGCATTTTCTTCTAAATCCTCTAGGTAAGCATCCCAACACACTTAACATTCTATCACCTGAAGGGGTGATAAATTTCAACAATGTGTTAACAATGTCATTATTCTTAATATTATTTACTGCATCCCAAGAGGTCATATTGATTAGTGCACTTTACAATTTTTCTTCCCCCATATACTCTTTATTAATCAATCTTTGGATAATAATAGTTATTTTAACTTTTATGCAACACTTGTGTGCTAAGTACTGGGTTAACACATTGATTTTCTTTAACCTCGTTTAATTCCCAAAACTTATTCTTTTATGTAAGAATTAGTAACATAATTTGTATTTTACACTTGAGAAAACTGAGGCACCAGGATAGAAAGTGGTGAAGGCAGGATTTGAACTCAGGCACTTTGAGCCCAGCAGCCCCCAAAACACTTTAACAGCACATGATAACTGACTGCTAATCATTTCTGCACCTTAACCGCATTCAAAATTTCGGGGAAGCCACATAACCTAAATACTAATAAAAGATTAAGCACTGTTGGTGAAAAATCAAAGTTCCAGATTAGGCTCTAAGAGCTTTACTTTTCAGGAGAATGTACCCAGAATTACAACTGCCAAACTAGCTCCAAGTATGTGTTTGTGTGTGGTCTTCATCAAAGCTTGCTGGTAGGATAAGGGAAAAACAAATCTCAAACTAATTCCTAACTTAGAAAATTCTCAATTTTCAGTGAGAAAAGACAACCCAAACCAAAGTGATTTAGAAAAGAGAGGGAGGTTAGAATGTAACACTTGGGAAAAGCTAACATTACTGCACGTAATCTGTCACTAACTTGGGACCACTTTTCCTGTGTCCCATCTAGCCTATATGAAAAGTAAGGCTGGCAATTGAGTTTCGAGTTGGGAAAAAAATTTTTTTTGAGTGGAACAGGAAGAAGGAAGGGCTGAGAAAAGACAGGGAAATGTTTGCTTGTGTAGTTGGAGGCTAATATTTTCCAAAATAATTCTAAGGTATAGTCGGTACCATTCCTAGAATATTGAACTTGATCTCGCCTTGGCCCCTAAAATACGGATAGTGACCTTGGACAAGTCAATTCTTAAAGGCCTCAGTTTTCTCACTGGTAAAACGAGGGCGCTAGGGGATCCCTCCCAGTTCAGACATTCTTTGGGAAAATAGAATAGGGCGGAGACAGCGGGAGAGGCGGGAGGGGAGGAGCCAGAAAACAAAGCGTGGACTGGCTTCAGGCCAACTCCGGTTGCACGCCCTGTCGGAGAGCCCTACAGGCCCGCGAGCGCGGGTCGGGAAAGCTAACGAAAGACAGCACATCGAAAGGAGCCTGGGCTGGGCCCGGGTCCCGGCCCTGAGGACCACGGGCATAGCTCACCACCATCACCGCGGGCGAGGGCCGTCCCTTCCCAGCGACGAAATGACCCTTGCGCTGACGACCGTTACCTACCACACTCTTCGGCTGCCCGGACCTAGACCCTCAGTAGCTCGGGCACCTAAGCACACAGAAAGCTAAAACACGCATTTCCGGGGCGGGGTCTCGCCACCCTGCCTATAAATGTGAGAATTTAACCAGCGCGGGCCGCCTCCTGGTAGCTCAGCCTTCTGGGTAAGAGAGTCCAGACCATGCTGTCGTGCGGGCGTTAAGTCTCCGAAAAACTACCCAGCCCGTCATGCAACTTTCTCATGGACACTACATTTCCCAGAAGGCATCCTGCACCGCAGCGTTTTCTGGGATGGGAACCACGCCGCCTGGGATCCTCGGCGCTACGAGCGAAGCGCGGACCTTTCAACAAGAGCTTTATTAATTCTCACGCTACGGCCCAGGAAGGCTATGGAGGTGGCTGCTAATTGCTCTCTGCGCGTGAAGAGACCTCTGTTGGATCCGCGTTTCGAGGGTTACAAGCTCTCCCTCGAGCCGCTGCCCTGTTACCAGCTGGAGCTTGACGCAGGTGGGAAGCGGCGGCGCCCCCTGGCACTCTAGTCCTTTCCCCTGTCGGCTGCCAGCGGCCGGACCCTTCCCTCATTTTCTTCCATTCTGACTTGGGCAGGCGACCGGGGCCTTCTGCACGGCCCGTCGGGCTGGGGTGGACCGAGGGTGGCCGCCCTGGAGACGGATTCCCATCCCGGAACCCAGTGGGAGCCTCTTTGGCGCGGCTCTTAATTAGCGAGACCCTCTCTGGCTCGGGCGCCCGGGCTCCGAGGTTCGTCAAGCGGCACGCGGCTGCTGTCTGGGCTTCGGTCGCCTGTCGGTCTCTGGCTGGGCCCTGCTGCGGAGAAAACTCAGGACTTGTTTCGCTTTCGAGCATCCCCTGTAACCGTGTGTAACCTTGTGCATTGGGAAGCCACACCTCCTGAGAGGACCCCCAGTTCCTGTTTCCTCTGGCGGAGACCCGTTTCGTAGAAGAGACTCCGTTGCAGTTCAGAGCGTTTTCAGTTAACAGAGGTGTTGTCAGACTAAGGACATTATCGTAGAGAACTTCTCTAGAAAATTTTGAGGAAAAGTTGATTTAGTACCTACACTTCTGCTATTTGTTTTGTGTATCTGAGGCTGGCCAAAAAATTCATCCTTGTTCTTTCTTACGAGGTAATGAATGGCATTTTCATTAAAGAGCACAGAGATTTGCATTTTTAGTACATACCTCTACTGGTTCTGGTGCATGTTGTCAGTGGGTCACACATTGAGAAATACTGATCTAGAGTTAAAGGACTGTTGTCAAATAGTGTTTATTAATTGATTTATAAAATTTGGAAATATTTATTGAGAGAGCCTGTTTTATGTTACAAGCTGGTATCAGGATGAATATGATACAGTCTGTAACATAAAAGTGTAGTTGGCTTCTTGGGAAGAAAAGTATAAACATAATTACAAAACAGTGTGGTAAGGCAGTGATTGGGTTATGCACAGAACGTAATGGAAGTACTTAAAATATCTTTCCAAACCAGCCTGGGGATCTGGGAAGGCTTCCTGGAGGAGTTGATATCTAAGTTGAGTTTTGAAGGAGAGGTAAGCATTGACTGGGGTAAGATAAAATGAGCTTAGCTTTTCTTTTAATTCCCTTCCTTTCCTTCTTCTACCCCATATCAGTAATTGGTATCCCTGTGTTTAGCTTGTGCATTAAACTCAGTGGCCAGAAGAGTAAGCAATTAATTGTTGCTCACAAGTCGACAAGTTAGGTAGGTAGTTCTTCTAGTAGTGGTTGGACTCATTCCTGCATCTTTGTTCAGTTATGGTGGTTTGGTGGCTCTGCTCATCTTGGCTGGACTTCCTCATATGTTTGGGGATTCTCTGGCTATAGACTGGTATAAGATTATTTCAGATGGTCTTTGCTTAGCTCTTCTCCATGTGGTCTCTCATTTTTAGCAGGCTAGCCCAGGCTTAATCCAAGAGAAAAGTAGCAGTGCACAGGCACTTTTTTCAGGCTACTGCCTGGAATAAGTTTGCTCTTGTCCCATTGGTCCAAACAAGACGTATAAACAAGCCTTAAGGTCAGTGTAGCAAGCTCATAGCAAAGGGCATAGATCCAGGGAGGCATAAAAAATTGGGACTATTGTGCAAGTCTATATAGTTTCTATGTTGGAGTCATGGAGTATTTCTTCTTTTAGTCCCTCTGTTCAGTCTGTCAGTAACACAGTCAGCTCAAAATTTGACTTCTCTTTGCCTCCACCCTTCTCCAAATCACAGTTATCTCTTACCTGAACTGTAGTAGTTTATTGACTAGCTTTCCCGCCATTCCAGTCTCCTTCCTTCCATTCTCTGTAAAGCAGTATCATCTTAGTTTTTAATTTTATATTGATATCCTGTTTCCTCCACTAGACTGTGAGCTCCATGGAGACAGTAATGTTTTCTTTTGTTCACTACTCTGTCCCTAGTGCTTAGCATTGTAGGTGCTCAATAAATAGAGTGCATGAAGAAAAGGAGGAATTGGTATTGAGGCCATTCCAATCCTGAAGAAGCCTGAGCAATGGGAGAGAGTAAGTAGGTTGTGTGTAGGACAATGATGCAGTCCTCCTATAGCTGGAGCAAAAACTCTCCTGGGGAAATAGAGACCACTTAGAAAAATAGGTGAGGGCACTGTTTGCCTTGTGGACTTTATCCACACCTCTGGTGGGTATAAGTCAGTGTTTCCCAGACATTTTCTCCAGCCCTTAAAATGAAAAATAAAGCTCAGCTGTCAAAGATTTGCCAACTTTTTAATTTGCTAAATGGAGATGTTTCTTTTTTTGTTGTTGTTTCAAGTTTATATTTAAATTCTAGTTAGCTAACATATAGTGTAATATCGGTTTCAGGAGTAGAATTTAGGGATTCTTCACTTAACGTGCCACACCCAGTGCTCATCACAAGTGCCCTCCTTAAAGCCCATCACCCATTTAGCCATGCCCTGCCCACCTCCCCTCCAGCAACCCTCAGTTTGTTCCTTATGGTTAAGAGTCTCTTATGGTTTGCCTCCCTCTTTTTTTCCCCCTTCCCCATGTGCATCTGTTTTGGTTTTTCAATTCCACGTATGACTGAAATCAAACGGTATTGTCTTGCTATGACTGACTTGTTTGGCTTAGCTTGATAAACTCTAGCTCCTTACGGGAGATGTTTCTTAAAAACTGATGTCCTCACCCATTCTTTCAAAAGCAAAAGGATATTTTAACATCAAAAAAGCAGGAAGCAAACTTTCCCAATAGTCCTCTAAATCAAATACGTTAACTTTATTAATAATTCGCTAAGTTGTCATTGTTTTCTCCTCTTTTCACCATTGTTGGTTTTGGAGACTGTGTTTGGGATACACAGTTGGAGGTGATGAGATGCCATTTAGGGTTTTAGGTATAGAGAAGAAACAGATTTAGAGATTGAGTGGTTTAATCTTAGGTTCTGTTGAGGTTGAATTTGGAAGATTGGAGGAATAGAGACAGGGAGACCAGTTTGGAGGCTTTTGCAATAGTTCATGTGAGGGGTTTTCATTAAGAATTGCTACCTGAGGAGGAGGATGGAGAGGTTAATTCTTTTAAAAACTGTCATTTCTAGAGATAGTGAGGTATGATTGAGGAGTTCCTCTTGGCAACTTGATTTCTTCTTTGCTACCCAAGGAGTGTACATTAATTCAGCAAAATGTTAGTGGATGGTGTGTGAAACTGCATTTAGGATGTGAGGGTGAAGATGTGCTCTGGTTTCAAAGAGCTTGGAATACTGGTTTATTTTTATTCTCTTGTTTTAAATAATGTTAGTAAATTGTTCTAAAGTTCCCTTTGCTGCATAAACAATAACTGTCAGGTTATGTATTCCAAAGAATTAAGCAAAAAACTCCCTTTTTTATAAAACTGTGATTGCCCTTTGACCCAGCAATTCCATTTCTGGGCATTTACCTTATACAGGTCTTCCTTGACTTACGATGGGGTTATGTCCAGACAAACACATGTTAAATTAAAAATGCATTCAATACACCTAATCTACCTAACACCATAGCTTAGCATAGCCTTCCTTAAGTGTGCTCAGAATACTTGCAGTAGCCTAGAGTTGGGCAAAATCATCTAACACAAAGTTTAGTTTATAATAAATTGTTGAGTCTCATGTAACTTACTGAATACAAAGTAAAAAACAGAATGGTTATGTGGGTACAGAATGGTTGTAAGTGTTGTTTACCTTCATGATCAGTCAAGTGCCTTACTGAGAGCTGTACCTTGCTGCCATGGCCCAGCATCACCAGTAATATCCTGCTGCATATCACTAGCCTGGGAAAAAAAAATCAAAGTTCACAGTGCAGTTTCTACTGAATATATTGCTTTTGCATCATTGCAAAGTCGAAAAATCCCAAGTTGAACCATTTTAAGTTGGGGACAGTCTGTACATATTTTTTTCCTAAACTCCTCATTGTGTAACTGTCTTTGTATATGTTTTCCCCTATATTTCACCTAGCTAACTCATACTCCATTTGTTCATCTTGGTTTACATGTTAGTTACTCAGAGATTCCTTTCTTGACTACCTAGTTAGAATCTATACTACAGAATCTGTACAAATTAGAATCTGTAATCTGCTCTCCTACTGTACCTGGTCATAGACTTTATCATACTTTGTAGCATTTGGTGTCTGGTTTCTCTTTTAAGACAATTGGTTTGGTTATCAGTGGTTCCAGTGTCCATCTTTCAGTGCTTTACTTCTAGGCCAGAGTGTGCCTGGTGGATAACAGATGATTTTATATCACATACGCACATTAAATAGGTTTATTGGGATAATTGACAGTAAACTGCACGTATTTAAGTGTACAGGTTGGCAAATTTTGGCATATATGCACACTCATGAAATTCTCACCATAATCAAGATATTAAACTTAGCTATCATCCTCAAAACTTCCTGTGCCCTTTGTAATTAGCCCTCTGTTCCTCCACGTACCCCCTTCAGTCCCTAAGCAACTACTGCTGTGCTTTCTGTCACGATAAATTAGTTTCCATTTCCTGGAGTTTTATATACATGGAATTATACAGTATGTACTCTTTTTTGTCTTGCTTTTACTCAGCATAGTTACTTTTAGTTCGTGCTTGTG